CTACAAATCGTCAAAGAGACAAGTGAAGCCGATCCTTTGATTAATCCTATAGCCTCGTATGACCCCTTCACTATCACAATTTCCTAATTGCTTATTTAAATGTAGTATGGTCTGTCCTTTTTAGCGTATTTAATGAGAACTCATCAAACCTCACGCTCGGTTTTTCACCACCAAACCCTGCAATCCTCTTCCCATATGTCTTATCAGAGTCTCTCTCTTTCCCCATAGATCCGTCTCCGATCTTCGCAGGTCATGTATATCACTCGACCCCTACCACCCTATCCGTACAACTCGAAGCGATATTTTTCACAATGTTTCAATCCACGTCAATGATCGAGCACTTCTAATGTTAGCCGACTAACTCTAGTCTCCGCCGCATCTTTCGTGCTTCTATCCATAGTGTTAAGTCTGATTTCCTACGCCCTAGTCTCTTGTGTTCAAACCCACAAATGTTGTGGTTATACGTGTTTTGATTAGGTTCAATTTATTACCACAACATTTGTGGGTTGGCACACAAGAGAGTAGGAAATAGGAAGTGATAGACTTGGTATTATGGATAGAAGCAGGATAGACGCAGTGGAGAATATAGCTATTTGGCTAAAAACAGACGTTTCATAGACCACGTCCACGATCAGACACGTCTATTGTTAGCCAAATAGCTCTAGTTTCCACTGTGTCTATCCTGTTCCTATCCCTAATACCAAGTCTATCACTTCCTATGTCCTAGTCTTTTGTGTGCTAACCCACAAATGTTATGGTTCTACTTGTCTTGATTAGGCTTACTCAAGATATGTCATCTGGTATCCTTGAGATGTCTTTTCCTAAAATTAAAGGCGTTTCCTTGATGCAGTCGTCTTTTTGCTGATCTTTCTGTTGCCTCGTTTTCTCCGATTTTGTTTTGGCAATATGCAAAGTTCTCGCTGATTCTGCCTTCTTCATATCTACTATTCATTATATTTCTTTTGGTCAGTATATAGATGACCTCTCGGATCTTGTGTTTTCTCGTATTTACGCCATATTCAGCCAGCCTTTCCGTTGATTTCATGTCCAGTTTGTGCAATGTGTCTCGCAATTTCAGATCTTTCGGTATTCATATTTTTTCAGAGTCTTTAATATTCCTTGATTCGTTGGTCTACTTTCCTCCTTATTCACCAATATACTTCTGCTCACAGTCGCCGCATTTGATGCGTTAAACTATTGAGCAATTCATTGTGTCAGTCTTATCGCGTTGCGTTAGCGGACTAGTAAAAGCGTTGGCTTCTCCTTTGTTATTACCTTGATGTTCCATTTCCTTAGAAACGGTCGCAATCTTTGGCCCAGTTCACAGGATGACATACATATCAAATTTTAGTCGTTTTGATTCCTGAATATATTTTCATAAAATCTGAGTTGGAATATGATCTTTATAACCTTTGGGGTATCCGTTACTAATGTAAATCCGAGTCAGTTTTTCTAATTCCTCGTCCTAGAACTCAGTGTCGTTAGTCGCAAGCTTCTGATGATCAAACTCATCAGTATTCCGATATGCTGTCTGTACTTATTGTGAGACGTTCATCCTAACCACCATCGTGAATTTAATTGTTTCATCAAGTTGATTCATGAAATTGAGGTATTCATTCAAATTTTCCTTACAACATGGCCAAAGTGCCTAGTAGTAATCCAGGTATCGCATAAGCACTCTTGATTACAGTGCTGACTTATCAAATTCCCTTTCCAATTCGCCAACCTATATATTTCCCATCAGTAGTCCAAATATTTGCTCTTAAATATGACTGTTTAATCTAAAATAGGTGTTCCTTACTGTAAGGTTGATAAGTCGTATTAACGACTCCTTCTGTATCCTCTTCTTGCTCCAATATCTCAGGCAAGGTTCTTACCCCCTTCTCGCCCGAGATGTTTGTATACATGGATTGTACATCGAATCCTCCCAGCAGTTCTGCCCCCACCAGTCCAATGTTTTGGATCCTTTGAGAAAATTCATATAAATTCACGGTATTCGAGAGTGCCATTAATTTCTTGAGCTTCAAGCAAGTGAATTTCGCTAGCCTGTGTGTTGCTCCATGCTTGTTTTTGACTCTTAATCTTAGCGGATTTCCTTCCTTGTGTATCTTCGGTAATCCGTAGGCTGTCGTTGGTCTTGCCTTATTTTTGATTAAAGAGTTCATCATCTATCTGTCAATTTCCCCATTATTGTGCAATTCCTTTACCATATTCTTCAGTGTCCAGTTGATCTTCATGGTTAGATCCTTCCTTAATATTCGTTAAGTGTTCCGGTCACCTTTGATACTTTCCATTTCCCCCGTGTACTGCTTCCTGTCGCTCCGTCAACCGTCGCTCCTTCCTTACCCATCTGAAGAGCTATTTGATCATTCTTTTGTGAGTTTTTCCATATGCCAGTCAATCTGCTCCAGTGTATCGGATCTCGATAGGCCTGGATCCGTGCGGTTATTTCTATTTCCAACTCCCGCTTTGTCTCTTGTACATACTTATCCGATATGTTAAAAACTTCCATAAGATTATCACTGAGAACTTCTCCTTCGTTATCTAGAGAAATATTTAACCCCTTCTTCAGGAGATCCATGGTTTTAGAATCAACAGAGACTGAGGATAGATTTACTACCTTATCCCTATCGCCGTTTGTAGCAGTTGATGTCTTCAATACGAACCATCAAAATCTGCCTGGGTCGGCTTGGTCTTGCGTTATCCTATTATCACATAGCCTATCAATTTCTTGTCATCTTGCCTATTTATCAAATCCCGGACCCTTTGTGGCTTCTAGTCCGTCATACTCTGGAGTTTTTGAAAATCATCCAAAGTAAGAACCCTGTTTAGATCCTTCCTTAATCAAGAATTGATATCTATGAACTTAAATAGCCTACGCCTATCCGTCTCGTAACTTTCCTCTAATTTTTGGATGTGGGTATAACAAAGTATCTCATTAACTATAGCCCAGGGCACAATGAGAGATACCATAATTGTTTAGCGGACAATTTGTCAAATGATCGGCTTAACTTGTCTCTTTGACGACTTGTATTGTGTTGCTAACACTAATAAAGCTCACTGGCGATGCCGGAGAATCGTCTGGAAACGTTCCACGTCGATGGTCTTTCTGGAAATTATCATGCACAGTATGGACTACGGACTGGGGTCGCTCCTCTAGGTCTTCCTACCAGTTGGCTTTTTGAACTAGATCTAAAAAGGATCTAGGCAGGGTTCTTTCTCCGGAGGATTTTCAAAAACTTTACGATACGACTGACGAGAAGTCATGGAGGGTCCGGAGTTAAATAAGGGGCCTGACAAGAAATTGTTTGGATATGGGATAATAAGACAGTGCATTATCAAGCCAACCCGGGCAAATTTTGATGCTTCTGTATTGAAGGCATTAACTGCTTCAAGCTACGATCGTAATAGGATAGTGAACTTATCCTCAGTCCCTCTAGATTTTGAAACGAGCAATCTCCTGAAGAAGTGATTACATTTTCCCCTACGTAACGAATAAAACTTCCAGAAGGTATTCCTGTGAAGCTTGTTAACATATCGGATAAATATGCTTAAAAGGCAGAGCAAGAAATGGAAAAGGAATTAATTCCAAGAATCCTAGCATATCAAAAACCAATAAACATTAGCAGATTAACAGGAGCACGCAAGAAATTATAGAGTAGTGGCCAAACATTTGTTCAGGTGAATAAAAGAGCAGCGATGGTGTTAAAGGACAGGAAACAGTACACGGATAAGATGAAAAGTATTTTTGACTATCGGAACATTTGTCAAATACTAAGGAAAGATCCAATCATGAAGCTTAACAGGATACTGACAGATATGCTAAAAAACTCAAAACAGCGGAAAAATTGATTGCTGGTTTATGAATTCCTTAGTTTAAAGATATCACAAGACCATCGACAGCCTAGGCACTATCGAAGATAGACAATGAAGAAAAATCCATTAAGGTTAATATCCAATAACTAGCATGGAGCAACATACAAACTAACGAGACTTATATGCTTGAAGCTCATAAATGTAAACGGCATAGTCTTGGCTTCCGCGAACTTTACCAAAGGACTGGCGAGGATGGAAATGTTGATAAGCTTTGACTTATAACCAATATACACAAATATCTCATGCGAGTAGGTAGTCTCCATCCTGCTGGAGATTCTGGAATGAGAGTAGGATATCCTGGAAACAGAACGCTTACGGAAGTAGTCGTTAACTAGATTGATCAACCTGACAGTGAGTATCACATATTTTACATTTAATAGCAATATCTATGAGCAAATATGTTGACTACTCATGAGATCTTCACTCACCTCTCCTGGAAAATGTATATATGGACAAATTGGAATAGGAATTCGAGAAGTCACTGCTGCAACCAAGAGTGCGTATGCGATACCTGGCTGACTACCTTGCATTTTGGTCTCATGGTAAGAAAGATTTGGATGAATTTCTTAACTTTATAAACCAACTTGATGGAAGAATTAAGTTTGCAATGAAGGTGGAAAAGGATGAGAGCCAACCTTTACTGGATGTTGAGATCATGCTCTCCAACGGGACATTGAAGAACAGTTTATTCAGAAAAAAAATACATGCGGGAATAGTCCTAAATTTCTAGTCTCATCACAACTACTGAATGAAGATCGGAATACTGACGAGATTAATCGTCAGAAGCTGAAAACTAAGGGAGTTGGAGTTCTGGGACAGAGAGCTGAAAAAACTGACCCGGATTTTCTTTAGTGGCAGGTATCTCAAAGAATTCCTAGAGAGAAATATGAGGGTCATAAGAAGCAGATATCAACTTGGATATTATGAAAATAAAATCACGAATCTGGAGGAAGATCGAATATAGATATGCCTTCCCTTCTGTAGACTGAGCCACAAATTGCGGCCGTTACTAAAATAATGGAATATTAAGGTGGTAGCGAAGACAAAGACAACCAGCGTGCCGATGCAACACGATAAGGCTGACAAATTGGATTTCTCTGTAGCTTACTACATCAAATAAGACAAGCGTGAGCATAAGCATATTAGTGAAACAGGAAGAAAAAGCAGCCTACTAATCAAGGAGTATCAAAGAATTTGCAGAGACATTGATACTGAAAGATCCGAAATATTGGAATACTTTGTACGTAAACTTGGCATTATGAATAGAATCACGATAGATTCTGCGGAGACTAGAGCTAGCTGGCTAACAGTAGATGTGTTTGATCATAGACGTCGGTTAACCAATGGCTTGACCACAAGAATTGCCTGGTGCACTTGTCGAAAGATGATAAGGGGATCCATAGCCTCAAGTTAATCTCCCATCCAACTTGAGAATCCAGAGATTGTGGGTCCACACTTTGTTGCGGTAGTATACGTGTCATCAATGGCTTTAGGCAGAGTATGGAATGATGCCTCGAGTAGCACAGATAGGGTGGCATCAGTCAAGTGATATCCCTGAACCAGCGAGATAAAAGGTGGATCCTACAGAGCAATGAGGCTGATTTGACCTAGGGAAATAGGACTGCGGCCTAATATGGCAGACTGATCTAAACTCTCAGCACAGGGAGGGAGAGTGAGAAAGCTAACGAGGAGCGTGTATGTCTCACTAATTTTGCTCAAAAGAGCACATCAGAACTATGTTTAAATACACGAGTAAGAAATTGTCATAGGGAAGGGGGGTTACGAGGATCTAGGATAGGCGAATACAATAGGACTGAAGGAGAGATACCACAACTACTTAGCAGATAATTGATCAGAGGATTGACTTCGTTTGCAGCTTTAACGACTGACAAGGCTCACTGGTCATATTAATGTTGGGACTTTCATTTCGTATAAGCGTGTATGAAGAAGAGATTCCTATGTTAATCTCTAACAAGAGGGCGGTTGAATCGCTGTTTTGTTTTAAAACGACGTTGAGATTGACTTAGTTTACGAGGCCTCCCTCGTTTCTGGTGAAAACGAGCTGAGCTTTCGTCCATCACCAAACAGCTACAGTACAACGCGATTCAACCGTCGTCTTCTGGTAAAATTAACCTACGAATCTCTTCTTCATACACTTTCATACGAAATGAAAGTTCCAACAATAACGTTATCTCAGGAGAATCATAGAAACCCAGTTATTCTTCATATCACTGGCCGGGCCAGCAAAACGTCTGCTAATATACCAGGTCCACTGTCCGACTGGAAATTATCATGCATACTATGGCCTCCGGACAAGGTGAGTTCCTCTAGGTCTTCCTGACAATATGAAAAAGTCGCAAAAACATGATCAAACAACTTTTAAACTATGCAATTGCAACCTTTAAGTTTTAGATCTATGGTTTCTCATTTCTCAAACTAGTATCTCCCATACTCTTCCATTTTATCCCATTCCCTCTGTTAGCATGTCCACATTTATCTTAGCAGCACTGCCTTTTCCTTTGTTAGTCTCTGCCTCTATTTTTTACATAGAATTTCAATTGAATATATTGTTCCTGTTATCTATGCGCATGCACTTACCTGCACTTGACGCCACAACTCATCAACCTGACAAAAAAAAAGAAATGAAGTAGCAGCATGCTTAATCTGTCTTGCCATTTTTCCACCAAGCAACTACTTTTTTTCACCCTTTGTATTTGCGCGTCCATCCCATTGATATCTTTGCCTTCGCCTCTGTATATGTCCACAATTTTTATAATCGCCTTAACTTTTCAACTACTCAGCCTCCATAATTCTAGCATTTTCGTCTTGTCATATATTGTTCCAAGCAATCGCAGTTTATCATCCTCTTATACCAATGAGGCAGCAAATTTTGGAATTGACATTTTGGTGAATAGCTAATTCCGTTTCAGATATAAGTTTAAGCAATTGTTGCTAACTTTCCACA